TATTTATTATATATATATTATTGTTGTTGTATATTATTTATATAGTATTATATAGTAGTATATATATACTACTATATATATATATATATATATATATATATGTACCCATTACTAATGGTGTATCACATGTGCCAGAAGTCTTACGATCGGTATTGGCTGTGTGCAATGCCGTGTAAAAACTGGAATTTCCATCATTTTGTTCAAAAGTGTATTCATTACAACTTTTGTGAACCCATTACAGCCTGGACACTATGTTCTCTGCCGTTGTTGCTCTTTGGTCTGGGAGACCTGCAGCCGCGTCTGATTGCTTGGTCGGCAACCTCTGCGCCCACGGGCATGGAGGCTCAGGTATATTAAGCGTGAGCTGGAAACACTTTACACTTGATTTCTCTGTTATTTAAAATCTGATAATGTAAGTCATACGTGCGACCAGTTGATGCCGCAGTCAAATATCATCAATTACAAACGCAATTGGAATGTAAATGGGCCATTCGTCGTTCTTTTCGTACTTTTCTTTAGCTGTTCATGTCCTTCGATTTTAATCCGTATTCCAGCTGCCGTCTCGCCCAGAGGTGACTTTACTCTCCATGAGGCTGGACGTGCCACGAGATGCCACGCCCGACGTGAATGCCTGTAGGCATATAATTCTTACTACCATGGATACTCTCAAGCGCATTGAGGGATTTCATACCGAAATAGGGTAAGCGATCTTGTGGTCTCGCTAGTTGAAAGGAATATATATATAAAAATCGGAAAAGGTTGTAGGTAAAATACTACTGGTTACTGTCCACGTCATTGTTGGAAACTGCATAGATATCTAAGAGGTATCTGTACAAACATCTTGAACGGGTGCGAATGGGTGAAGTAACAAAGCAATAGTATATTGACGTGATTCGCATCTATGAAAATGCTTGGCAGGTCCCGCAACGTGTCTTTCACCGATTTCTGCTACCAGCCCGACGACCAAGAACAATTGTGTGTGTTGGCGGCACCGGGTCATTTCTGGAAGGTAAGCACACAGCACAACACGCTCTCTCAGTTTGATTTTTGAACGGATTTCCATCTACGTATATGTATGTTCCGTATTCCCAGCACTAAAGGTGTGAGTGCGGAGCTCTGTGATGGGGTGCAATGTTTAGTCTCAGCCTTCACAAATGCTTTAAAAGTCCTAGCATATACTGAATTTTAATGAGATAAATTGGTATACAAGCGGACCCAACCAAATTCTAATGTTAATCAATTGGGGCTTCCATCTGTGTGACATAGTCCTGTCGATCTTTACTCATAAAGTATTACGGCAAACCTGCGTGCGTACTATTGGTTGTCAATCTCGCGCATTAGTACTTGTCCCATCGATCGAATATTCACACTGCTCAGACCACCACCTACAGAGACGCGGTCTGATTTCAATCTTAGGGCCAGACGCTCGAATTTACACATACCTTCGATTTTTCGGTCGGTCCTTTTTATTGACCTTCTGTAGGACGACAGGGCCGCACTGATGGCTGATCCTGATCCGCTCGAAACGATGACGCGGTCGAGTGCTATATACAGAGAAGCAATTGTCGGGGGAGCTACTCATGCATGGGTATGTCCTGCGCTGCAATATCTATCGGACCTCAAAATGACAACGAATCTGTGTGTGTGCAATCAATGGCGGAATTGAAGTTTCTTTCGAATGGATCGGAAGTCGCACTGTTATATGGCAATTAGTAAGCTGCTTTGCCGACAATGATGAAACCGGGAATGGCTACCCTGTATTTCTTTATAATTGATCACAAGACAGTGATGAAATGTCGTCTTGGAATTCATAAGTGCATCTATGCTCATCAATTCGAAGTGAAGGCGATGACGCAAAACACATTCATGAGGGGTTGCAATTAATATCATTGTATATTGAATCTCCATGTTAGGGTTCCAACCAGGTCATCGGTTTCAGTTCTCTGAGTACAACATTTGCATTCGAAACATCTGATGAAAGGGCGGGAGATCGATCCTTGTTTTTACAACGGCTCACCGGTTGGCTTCAATCCGAAAATTCGACCGTCAATGCCAATATTAGCTGGCATTTCTCTGACATGCAAACGACACACCTGTACTTTGAGGTTAGCGGTATCATAGTGGACTTGCATAATGACACGGTTGGATAACAACGTAAAGTTTTGGTGTGATTTTGTCCTTTCATTGCCCCCAATTTGGTCATATAGCCTAGTATTGCATGTATTGTCTGCGTGAGCCCTAACTTCAACAGAGAGGGCTAAATGTTTATTATGCTCCCTTTTAGGTTCCACAAATCGAGCTGAGCTCTGACGTCATTTTCCTGGTCTGCACGTACGTCCTAGTAATCCTGTACATTTACTTCAGTGTCGAAACCAAATTTCACATGGTAAAATCCAAGGTACGTTGCGATGCTGTTTCAGTATGTTTAGCGCACATTGCAAGTTTACTTTCACTCACAATTTTTTATTTCGAGTGGACTGCATCACCCGTTCTAATAGTCTTTGCTTTCGCTGTAGGAAAGTTTGCAATGCTCAAACAACCTCATGGTTCACATCTCCTCTGATATATATATCTTATGGGACAAGGCAAAAAAAATTGATGTTTGCAAACATTTATCTTGATGGAACTCGCTGTTACAAGCATACTCTGCAGATGGTACTCGAAAATCATTGTAGCTTGTATGTTTTTAAATCAGATACATGTCAAGGGTGACCTGTGACTACTGGTGTTTATCTTGCTAATACTCAAGATTTCGAAATGTTAAAACAAAGTACAGTTTTACATTGCAGCGGGATTTTTCTGTTTCTCTCTAAACTGACATGTATCCCATCTTCCTTCATTCGTTTCAATTGAAGGTTGGATTGGGTTTGACGTCAGTAGTGATGTTGCTAATTTCTCTCAGCATGTCCGTGGGAATCTGCCAAATGTTTGGATTCGTGCCTACGCTGGTGGTTGTGTAAGTTTGATCCATGCTGCGTTTTCTCCTATATGCCCGCCGCACAATATACTCTGCAACGTATTATCTGAACTCCATGATTTCAATTCAGTCGAGGCTTGCTGCCTTGGCCAGTGGTTTCGACAATTTTACTTTTCTACCTATTGGGGCACATAGTGTTTTGTGTATACAATGATTTTATTGTTTTTCCAAAGGCCAAATGTTTAGACAAATATATGTTCGATAACGGATTCGATATTGCAAATACAGATTTGATGGTATGTAGTATGACCAAGCCGCCAATGTCTCGTGCCTACAAATTGTCAACCGAGGATATCGCTGGTTACTCTTGCTCAAATTACACTGACATAACAGAGAGGTCATCCCTTTCCTCATCATCGCTGTTGGAGTCGAGAACATCTTCTTCATCACACATGCCGTGGTGGCAACGCCCTTGGACAATTCGGTACACCATCGCGTCGCCGAAGGTATTCACATATCTTACCCAACAAAAAATTATCATTGCTCAATAAGTGACCTCTCTTTATGAGCTTCGAATAGGAATGTCTTTCTACCGTATGACTGTATTTGTATATTCAGCTTTTATTTTGTAAACGTTCTTTGGCATCTTCTCGACCCCAGCTGATTTGGATATGAAGTGAAGTATACGCCACCGAATTTTAATTATGTATGACCTTTTATCGGCCAGACTCTTGAAAACTGGTTGGTAGCTAATATGCATTTGGTACACTGATAATCATACTTTATACACCTGCCGCGATGTTCACTTTTCAGGTTTATCGAACACTGGCAATAAGGTTGTTGTGTACTTATTGGCGGAGTTGATGCTCACCATCGTGGGATCGTTGAGTTCCATCGACGCTTTGCGAGAGTTTTCGATCTTTACCTTTTTTTCGCTTTTGGTAGATTTTTACCTGCAGGTATGGTATACGAGCTGGATTATCTCCCATACATTTTACGCATTGCTTTTTGCCTTCAATCCAGACTGCTCATTATAGCATTTCCATCAGGCTCACAACATGCGACCAAATTACTTGGCTGTATATGACGAAGTGCTTACATATGTTTCTATGATAATTTTAAAACGAAATTTATTTTCACCTCTCAGACTATTTTACGCTATAACTCATATCGCTGTGTACTGTTCTTTCTGTTTTAATATGACAGATCATATTCTTCCCCGCGGTTTTGTCAATTGACATACGACGGATGGAGCTGAGCGATATCCAGATGCATTTAAAGCACTGTCAGACAGTGCATCAGCCACGGCGGCGGCGATCACGTTTTCTCACTCGCCGGCCGGGCAAGCTAATTTCAGTAAGTATGCCAAATGCCATGTATTCAAGTTAACTACATGGCTTTTCTGATTGCATCCTTGTTTGTCCTCGTAGTTGAGCTTAAATCCTGTACGATGACATTGTTTTCACGGTCAATCCAGTGGGTTCGGGTGGGCGTGAAATCACTATGCATCTAGTACAAAGAATCGAAAAATGGCTTGTGGTATTTAAGATCAGTGGTCCATGAGTGTTTCCATCTTTCATATCCAAATCCAATCGAATTACAAACCATCTCTGACCCAATTCAGGCTCTCGCGATGGTTCTGCTTTTGGTAGCAGCCTTCATTCTCAGCGAATCAGAAGGGGCAAATATCAGCTTGCCACCGTATAATACGAACAAATTGCTTAATGAATACAACGGAATATTACTGGACAAAAGATACGTCGCCTATGTCCCACCAATGAATGGTGCGCTTCGAGATATCGCTGGGCCGAATGGATCGCGAGTAAGTGACTGTTTGTTCCAACGCGCTGCACCTTGGTATTTGCCACCACAGCTTACATTTGATATCTAATATAAATTTTTCTAGTATGGTGCGTTCCATTTCAACAAGTTTGTCATCAGCGCGTGATTGCAACACGGAAGTATCATTAAATGATCACGTTTTACGTTCGCCTGCGATTTATTTATATTATATATATATACATATAATAGGTATATACCTACATATATTCAAACACATACGCATTAGCAATGCACGCAACTGGATTTTTGTTGTAAAGTGAAAACCGTCGCGAACACGGTATACGGCGCTACTGAATAGGCGATCGCTTGTGGGGTTCCTGCAGAATGAGTAATCTAAGATAATCCCCCAGGAGGGATCAGGACGTAAAAACTTGCATCTCGCATAGCGTCGTTCTGCGTTGTCTCTGTACATTCGCTTTTTAGAGGGCATATCGTCGTAAATCGGCGTATCACAATGCTGTTGTGTGCCAAGAATGAGTTTGGCACGTGCACTATCATAGCTTCACTGAAAAAAGTTAAATGTTGCTAATGCAAAAGAAATCGGCTTACCTATTAATTTCTGGAATCTAGATTGATCTGACCACCATACATGTAAGTACGGAGGCATCGATCGTCAACGTCGCTTTGACCGTCTTTGACACGCTGGTGAAAACAATGACGGAGATTGCGAAAGAAGTTACGTCTCACATGTGGCTCAATATGGTCTTAATAGTGGTACTTTTCCTCGTGATCATGGCTTGGGTATGGCGCATGACTTCTGGTCTCCATGATAGGCTCCCAGGTATGTACGCGAAATGGCCATCTAATGTTTATTCGTGTGCTCAACCGCTGCGAGAGTTTGATGGTTGATGTGAACTTATGAAATTGGATACTGGGCACGAATCTGGACTACAGCGTACTGTGAAGCGGGTTATTCACAATCAGTATTAGAATCCCGAAATATATGCTGATTGTGCCCTGTGTTATGCAGTGCTCTTGGCATTTCCAAACTTGTTTACCTTGTGCCGGGTATAAGAAAGTAGTCTAATGGTTCTTTGTGGGCGAGGTAGGCCTGAGTCCTGAAATCTTCGGTTGCTCAGGTATTTCAAAAGGAAGCACTTGATAACTTCTTCAATCCTAAATATCTACAGTCATTAAGCCGATCTTCGTTAATGTGATATATCCAGATACAAGCGACATGGTTGAGAAGTGGAAAGATGGCGACATTGAAACGGACCAGTTTGGCTTGGAAAGTGATCAACACTCTGCCGAAATCTCACAACTTGTGTATTCAGAACAAGTTTTGATCTCCTCGTGCACCGATAGCATAGTCAAAGTATGTGATCTTACAAAACTTATCACTTGTTGAAGCTCTTGAAGTAGTTCAATCGCTTTTCTATAATTTACAGTCAAATGTTTCTTATGTCCGTTTTCTACCGTATTCAATGCTTCGTTTTTTAGTATGATGGACATTGTCTCGCTATTGACAGAGTAGTTTGTTCCATTATTACCCAGTGCATCATATGCTGGGCGTGATTTTCATGTTGTTGAAACGTAGTGTGCTTCTGCAGATAGCGCTAAAACCGTATCGTCTTGAATTCAATAGGTATGGCACATCGATACCGGTCAATGTTTGCGAACGTACAGCTTTCTACAACCCGACATAGTCCCGCCAGATGAAGAAGATGAAACTGTGTGGAGTATAGCGATTGCCGCTAAAGGGCTGGTGGCAATCGGGCTCGGTTCTGGGGCTCTCTTAGTTGATCGCCTCAATTTACGGTCATCCTCGCGGGAGAGGTGGGTATCGACAGTGTGTGTGTATCGTCCTAGATCAAGTACGTACAACTATGGTGGTCACAAACCATTGTACTCGTCTGCTATACGTTGCCATGATCTCTCGCATACAGACTTAATGAAGTCTGAAGTATTGTGGGTGTCTGTTACGATTGTGGGTCTTGAACTTCAAGGTCGCACTCGTATGATAATATGTGAGTTCGTGTCAGAAAAAATAGTGACATCTGTAAATCAGTAATAAGAGCGAAGCCTGTACTACTCACTGGAAGTCCATCGTGCATACGAAGCCGGCGTTTCTATGCAAGAGGCGAACGAGAACATAGACCTAAGAACAAGTTTACACCCTGGTTTTCTCCTTTTGGCAGGAAAGACTCACAGCTCTGCAATAAGCAAGGTGGCGCTAGAAACCGAAGATAGCAACTTACCTTCGAACGTGTCTTTTCTCTTCTTTGCTACAAATAGGCCCGGCCAAAGTTCATATTTAGATTCTCCTGATCAGGGAATACGTGGCTCAGCAAAAGCTGGGAGTGGAGGCGAGCAATTACGCACAAGAGCATCATCCTGCAGCACATTAACTAGGTTGAACTCCGCATGCACGAGCGGTGTAAGCTGCATAGCGACGGGTTCATATTATATCATATCTGGTGATGCAGATGGCTGTGTGCGTGCGTGGAGCGCAACGGCTGGCCTTGAGTCCGAATCCTCCTCATTTTTGTCTCTGCCATCATTAGCAAGCACTAGCTCCGATTCAGATGCGGATATGACATCCATGGGCCGGACAGTGCCCTTGAGCAACATCACTGATCTGAATACAATGCGCAATTTTCTGTCTGTGGTATGCCACACGGCAGCTGTCACCGTACTGGAAATGAGTGGCCAGTTGTGTGTTTCGGGATCGACCGATGCCTCTGTTTGCATTTTATCTCTGTCGCAAGGTGAGTACTGTCGGTCTTGTCGTCACTGGCTTTCCTATGGCTTCCCATTCTGAATTGAAGTTATGTGAACTTGGCCTATTTCATTTCTTGTCGAGCCACACGGGGCATGTTTCCATTAATTTGTCATAGATAAGCGTAGCAAAATAACCGGTGAGATAACAGCACCGACATGTCACCTCACCACAGTTTATGTACAGCCTATGATAGAATCAGTAAACCAATTTGTATTTGCCTTCGAATTGCATCGGCAGGAGCTATCTTGCACAAACTCGATGGACACCACCATGCCATCTCGTCGCTTTCTCTGTGGAATTGGGCTAGGGGTGGTTTGCGTGTAGCGTCTGGCGACGAGAATGGCACTGTGTGCCTATGGGATGCGCATTTAGGTATTTTCAATCTCACGTACTCTTATTAGTTTGTAACGGCAACTTATTACCGATCAATACCCGAACAGTTTATAGAAGTCGATTCTTAATTCTGAATCATATGATGCGACCATTTACCTTCTCTTCCGTCGCTTTATAATTTTGAGCATCTCTTGTCGCTGTCCCAAACCATATCCAATCTGGTCTTTATTCTTCACTGAATGCGGGCAACCGGTTAACCTATCAAACCCATCTTCAAATCCCAGGCAAAAAGTCACGTGCGCTCTCTGGTTTGACATCAGCAGTGCTGACCACGTGTGTGGACAATCGGCCCACTTTTTCTCACACATCAGCCAGTAGGACTCTGATTATGGGCTGCGATTTTGAGCAGCTAATTGTATGGGATGCTCGTAGTGGTAGGGCTTGTTGCAATCTGCCGGTGCCGGTGAGTTGGCTGTTGGAGATCAATATAACTCGCTAAGTGTGGATATGTATCGTATATCTAGATTCAGTTGGTGTGATTGACACTAGCAAGTAAATGGTGACAAGTTGTATGCGTGTCCTCGCGTTCCTGTTGGACATGAGTGCCTGACCAATATTATTTCGTGGTATAGCTGTCTCTACACAATGCAGATGGTTTGACGCGCGAAAATAGTCGATCGTTGCTCAACTAGTATGTACATCCCAAGACACTATCTTATATTTCACCTCGAAATTCCTCTACAGATTACATTCAATTGTCATATTGCACATTAATGCTGCAATCGGTCATCAAACGGTTGAAGACCCTAATCATTATTTGATTACTTTCACTACATCAGGATCAGGGCTTGGTACAACCAGCCCATCTCAAAAACGGCCTGGTGGCCATTGGGGCAATGGACAGTATTGGGTTATACGATGCGATTAGTGGTACGTGCGTGCGGGTTATAGATTTGCCTAAGCTGCAAGTGACCGTTGACAGACGAGAAGCCAGGCGGCGGCGAGTGCGACAGCAGCATAATCAAGACAATGACCAGCAAAATAGTACTGGAAACACACCCAATGGTGCGAGCAACCACAATGCTCAGTACGCTGGCGAGGACGATGAGAGGCCGCGCATCGTTAGCCAACAAGATATGTCACAGCATGTCGACACAACTATACTGCCCTCAATACCGGTGTCCGTGAGGTTTTGTGGTGAAATCGTCGTCTGCTCTCGAGGGAATTCCCTCTTCAGACTCTCGCGGAGACGTAGTGAAGATAAGGATAATAAGGCGGAATAGCACCACAGTGATATAGTAACAACGACCTACTAGTACGATATGTAAGAGAGTTAGCACTAGTGCAAGTCCAGTTGTTGAGCAGCTGAGCGGCCAACGACCCTACATGGTGTTGTTTGAAAAGTTTACAGTGAGCACATGATGGTATGTCATAGAATGACTGAGTCGCTACATGTCAGGGTCAGAAGTCTTGATATATGTGTATTAGTGCTTACTACTCCCAGTACATACCAAGATGGCTCAAACGGCTCTAAGCCTACGTGAATAAGTATTCGCTTCACATAAATCCGCAATGCATGGCTAATTTATCACAGACATTAAGACGTAATTCTATATGCGCCAGAGCTGATATGCGGTACATTTGTGCTCAAGCCGAGAAGCGCACAAGCATGACATAAAAAGAGGCACGAGCATTGTGTAGACTACGGATCAGCTGTATCAAAACCCTAATGCCCCATATAATAGAGCGTTGGATGAGATCGATTAACACGAGACTAAAACCACCAAAATTTGGTTCAACCGATTTTAATGAGACCAGACCGTCACGATCTGCTTCTAATAATATACGCGTCTTGCCCTACTCGTATACATACAAGAAAATTTCTATGCCTTTCATTTTCTAACAGCGTTAATTTCCGACACGATATTTGGTGTCCATATTTACTACGGATGCCTGCATGAACGGCACGTAAATGATACTAGTGATACTCACATAAATTCATACTACAGTACTCGCAGTACCTACACATTCCCTTCGCGTGAGGCTTTCAGCAATGTTACCTCCGCAAATGCCGCACCCACGCATTCCCTGCAAAGCTACTTCATATGCATAATGAGTCGCCCCTCAATGAGAGGCTCTTGCAGTCAAATCGTTGCCACTCATAGCTTTTGGATTGAGAGACGAGACGAAGGACCGGCGCATATGTGCAATCGCTACAGTCGCGCGTCTGGGGTGCCCCTTTTCATCTATGCCGTCCTGGTCAGTCCATACATCGCGGTACGTGAAGTGGCCGTAGATTGGCTTGCCGTTGCCAATTGGCGCGGGCTGCGACAAGATGAAGGGATCGCGCGCAAGTCCTGCGAGCAACCCAAGTATGATGAAGATGTACGCAACAGAAACCGGCAACCCAATGATCACACTGCAGGCCTGTAATCCCACCAGCGCATCCGACCCTCCAGAGATAAGCAGTACTAGCGCACATGCGTTGGTTGCAACGCACCAGACACACTTGAGGATTCTTGGCGATCCCACTTGACCACCGCACGCCATGGTGTCGATTACAAGAGTTCCGGAATCAGACGAAGTGACAAAGAACACTAGTAGCAGAATCATCGTGACGACCGACAAGGTGTAGTACAACCATTCAGGGCAAATTTCCTTCAGCAGACCGTAAATCTGGGCCTCAATACCCAATTCGTAGATGGTATCCACGGGCGGGTTTAGGTGGTCAGCGCCTGCTAAAATTTGATCGTCCAGTGTGTCGATTGCCGCCTGCCCCATCACAGTGAACCAGACAACGGAAGCCATGGTAGGGGCACCGAGCACAAACACAATGAACTGTCGGATTGTGCGGCCCTTGGAGATCCGCGCAATAAAAATGGACACAAAGGGTGCCCAGGAGAAGAACCAGCCCCAATAGAACACGGTCCAACTAGTCATCCAGTTCATTTCATGCTCACTCAACGAACCTGTACGCCATGTGCGATGAATCAATGTCTCGACATAGAGACCCAGATTCTCGACTGTGCACCGCAACAGTCTGATGGGATCACACAGAACGAAGATCAGGAAGCACAGGAACAATGCGATAACCGCATTTGTGTTTGACAGAATTCGCACACCAGTGCTGAGACCTGTAGTGATCGATATGCAGGCTAGCACTGTTGTTATCAGTACAATAACTACCTGTAACCACGCCATATCATCGGTGGGGTCACCATTCTTGATATCAAATACATAATCTAGTCCACCAATAATATTGATCACACCGAGTCCTAGTGAAGTGCACAGTCCACCGATAGTGCCGAAGACAGCTACAGTATCTATGATATGTCCCGGCCACTGTAAACAAAATAAAGCCAAGAAGCGAGTTAGGTTGATGCTCCATGTGAAACACAGTGGTTCGAGTTAACCCAATATTGAACCCGTTCTGCAAAATGGAGCACGCCCCGGCACAGCATTCTCTCGCAAAGCGCCACTTCACAACTTCAGTTCGTCGTTTCAGAATCACTCAATTTGCGGCATAAAAACGAACTCACAAAAAAATATAACACCGGTAAACAGAAATAGCTGGTTCTGACACAAAACTCGTTCAATAGTAACATTGACATACCCCTGCGGTGAATCGACCCAGCAACGGGTACATGGCACTTCGGAAGGTCAGTGGCAATTTCAGGCGGTGCGTAAAATACGACAACGCAAGACTCAGTCCGCAATATATAGACCACGCGCTTATACCCCTAATAATAGAATAGAAAAAAAAGTAAATATACAATAGTGTATAATTGAGCAGGAAACATATCCCGCTGCACAAAGCCGTGCCAAGTATATAGGTGCTCCCCTATCGCTAAATGCAACTACCAGAACGACTATGACATATATGCAGCACCAGAGAATGCCGTTAAAACGGTGCGTAGTGTTTGAAATACCAAAAGCAAAGACGAGAGCAGCAAAAGCTGTAAATATACAATAGTGTATAATTGAGCAGGAAACATATCCCGCTGCACAAAGCCGTGCCAAGTATATAGGTGCTCCCCTATCGCTAAATGCAACTACCAGAACGACTATGACATATATGCAGCACCAGAGAATGCCGTTAAAACGGTGCGTAGTGTTTGAAATACCAAAAGCAAAGACGAGAGCAGCAAAACAGGTGACAAGTACACTACCAGCTATGATCATGAGGGGTAAAACGCATCTGCAACACTATATTATGACTAAATACAAATTTAAACCCCTCTTCTCTATATTATAACCATACATAAATCGTCCTGAGCGACAAAAATCTTACCAGTGAAACAAGGTGGTCGGTACAGCCCATTGCATAGGTCCAGAGTAATAACTAATTGGCGGATCCACATAGTACGACAGAGGCTCACCCACACCGTAGAACACCATGCCAACACCCATGCCTGCACTGAATAACATGGCCAGCCACGATCCAGTCGAGAACTCAGGCACATCATCATCATCTCCCAGGACGATATCTCCATATATGGAGAACAATAGGTACGTTAGAGTTAACACCGTAAGCGCCACTACCAACACGTAGAACCAGCCTAAGTTGCTTCCAATCCATGTCAGCGCAGAACTGCATGCCTTCTGCATATCACTCGGGAGGACAGCAAATAGCAGCACGAATATGATGCAAAACACGAGGGAGGGCACAGTCACCCCAAAGCAGATGTAGTCCAACCACCTCAATCCTTTGCGATCAAGGCTGTCAGGCAGTTCCGATGTGTAATCAGTGGGAATATCTTCCTCGGCCATGCCGATGATATCCTCAGTGGAGCTATATCCCCGCCAAAATGACCTGGAGGTGTTCTCCTTTTCGCTCTTGACTTCCATCCCATCGTCGTTGTCGTCGTCTATGTCTTCGGCCGATCGACCTCCCGACGCGAGACTAACAGACGAATTCTGCTTGGTCAATTCCTGTTTAGATTCCATTTTGCTCAAATACACTTCGAGGTGCCTTATGCGGTATACTTAATAGTCGTGATTGCAACTACCTGCTCGCCTGGGACGTAGCGTGTGTTTTCAGCTTCCTATTTTTTTATAAGACGTTCTACTAATTTGGACGACAGTGCGTTTCAAACCATTTAGATTTTTGTGAACTGGCTACAGCTACTGAGGTCTCTTGTGGTGGGTTCACCGTTCACCGATGATCATATATACTTTTTTACCTTCTTGATCATGGTTCAACGTTCACCGTTGATCATTTTTTATTTAATTTATGATTTTGATGATCGACTCTTTCGATAAAAAAATATTTGTTTCAATGTTCACGATATTCATCGTATTGTTTTTGTATTTCCCATAAAAAAACGACTCATGAACTGTCTGAACCTGATTCATATTTATTTATTTTAAAAACACCAAAAAAAAAAAATCATGATCAATTGTGAATCACACACAAGAGAGAGAGAGAGCAGCCCATGCCTTCTGATTCTGACATAAAGAGGTTGACAGTTGACACTGTGCTGTGTCATGTGAGATGGACTGATGGATATGTATTATGTAAATAGTGTATTTATTAACCGAGTATACAGTGGAATTTTATAATTTTTTGCAGTTTTAAATTATTTTTTTCGTTTCAGTATTTAAAAAAATTTATTTGTGATATCTTTTTCTCTTTCTTTTTTTTCTATACAAAATTATAGAGCATGTTTTGTGAATTTCCAGTCACCAATCTATTTGTATTTTACATAGATTTTGTTTTTAAATGATGACCTTAATTCGGTATTTGATTGAACAAGGTACTATATAATTATGTTTTTAGTAGTGAAGGATTTCCTGCGTAAACCCTATTGGCTTCGATTTGGGTTCTTAGCCTTGGCGTGTCTTCGTTTTGACTTCAATATGGCTTCAGTTTCGCTTTGAACTTCAATTCCATGGTGAAGCCATTAAAAACAAAGCTAGCTAGGAAAGTACATCCAACGAGAGATCGTCTTTAAACTACTTGTCCCAATTTTCTCTACTCGCGGATTGGTTCTAATATACATTTCAAAGACAGCCCGCTCTCTTCTGGGATTCTCTCTCTAGAGTCTAGACTCTATACACTCTACGGTCTACTCTCTAGTCTCTAGTAGCGTCTAGCCTTCCAAAGTTCTGGTCATTTGAATAGGAGTGAAAGCAATGGCTCTTGTTTGTTTTTTTCTTCTATAACTTTTGTTTTTTTACATAGCCTTCTAAATTTATATATATAAAATGTTCAATTTAGTAGACTATGATTTTTTTGTTGTTGTTGTGCTCTGACTACTATAAAAAAGCAAAACATTTTATGTATTTATGCATGTATTTACAATGACAATAAATAATTACATACAAGATAAATAAATATGTGAAACGTGACAGACTTTATCACTGAAAGCGTAGCTGTAGAGATAGAGAGTCCCTATTGCTTCTAGCGAACTTAAAATCTGTCCGGAACCATTTGTAGGCTGGTCCCCGACAAGTGGTCCAAGACCTAACCTCATAAAGTTTTACGATGCAACGTTTATATTTCAAAAAGTATACGTAAAACGTTGTACTTTTATATCCATAGAGTAAATATACACATAGGGTCATTCTCCAAGTTGCGCGGTCAGTTGCGCGGTCAGTTGCGCGTTTCGTGGCTAGAATATGGAGAAAAAGGTGCATCTACTAGGTCGAAAAATTAAAAAAAAATCAGGCCAATATGTTTGCAAAAAACGTTGCAACGTTTAAAAGTCAAAAAGTATACGTAAAACATTGTGCTTTTATTTCTACCATGCCAAACTTTCAATTTATTTTTTATCAAAATAATTATTCGGATAAAATGCAATTTTTTTTATTTGAAAATGGTTTGAAACAAAAAAAAATAGGGAAGATTGAAGATCCTAGTCGATTTTTCAAACGAAAAGTGTACAACACTCGTATATACTACACAACAACAACTACACGTATGTGTGTGACTGTGTGGGCGTGTGTAAATATAGTGAGCGCGTGTGAGGGAGCGTGTGTGTAATTGAGCGAGCGTGTGTGAGGGAGCATGTGTGTAATTGAACGAGCACGTGTGAGTGAGCGCGTGATTGTGTGTGATAGTATGCATGAATGCGTGTGTACATATGAGAATTTGTGAGTGAGTGGACGTGTGTAGTCCTTCTACAACCCAATTCTTTCAGCACTGATCAACATAGCTGCAAACAACATGGAGATCGCCCTTAACAAACTATTTAGACAAAACATCTATGAAACAAGAAAAAATGACAACAGTAAGAACACGCAACATGCTAATCTTACAAGTTGTGGTTCACAGCAACGCTGATGCTGTTACAAACGCTTCCAACAATGAGTGGTGAGATGTTCTAAACTTGAGCCACGTTGAGTGCGTGTTGGATCTGAAGCGCTTCAATCTGAGGCTCCCAGGAGTCTGGTAGAAGCTTAGGAGATAAAGCTTGGGTGATGGATGGTTCGTCCGAGCGCATAAACAAAGAGTTAGACGACCGCGGTGCTCTGTCCGATAAAAGCACCTGTGTTCATGAGAGAAGGAACTTACTTCTCGCTATGATCAGAACAGCCAATAGAGTTGCACCAGTTGTAGGCGCGGTCGTAGCGGCAATAGCATGAAAATAGCAATAAACTACAAAATAGTGTGTCTCTCCTGCAACTTCGTATATGTTTGTACGTGCATTTGAGGCTTATCTGACTATAAATTTCTCGGCCAATGAAAATACGAACGGTATTTTTCCATCTAAAAGTAGGTTATATTTTTGAGTCAGGCGGCCTGTCATCAAGATGGCCGTTATTCAATCCTACTTTTTTGTCTATTTATTTACCTCTTATTGTTTACCTTTTCTTCTGTCCAGTTTTTTATTCTGCGGGGTGACTTCAAAAACTTATGCACACTCAGTGTGTACCTGAATATATTAGGAGTTGCTCCACTGTACTTTCACACAACAAGAATGAGAAGTGGATAAGCAAGTATTTTATGATATAGGATACAATATTTTTAATATATATAAGAATAGCGGTAGTACTCCCCTGTTGGGTGCGAGCGCCCAATTGTTGTTCTGCGTGCGAGATATGGTAGTCGGGGATATTGCCCACTAAATGATATAGATACTTACCGCCAACAGCTGAGCCAGAGAATATGCCTTCAGTTGAACCACGATTTAGAAAGTCGATGTTTGAAGGCTTTAAAGAAAGAAGCATTTGATATGCACGCATGTACGGTACAAGTGTATGCAAATACTTCTCTGGAGAGAGTTGTAGAACCCCCAAGCTCCCAGCCCTACTTGCCTGATTTTTGTCTACCTCTTTTTCTGTCCAAATTGCGGTCTGAATCGGACCATGGACGTAAGAAAAGGTTTGACTGTACTTTCAAGTTTCAACTGTTTACTAAAAAAAAATTCGGTGAGAGATTATCGTTCTAAAACTATTATAAAAAGGAAACCAGGTTTACCCGGACAATATGTTCCAAAGAAGGCTTTTATTCAAACAAATGCTTTAAAAGAACAACCAAATACACACATATTGTGTATGTTTTTAGCATAGTTTTATTATAAAAAGCTATAGGTCTCATACTCCTAGGCCCAAATACATTATATTTTATTCAGCCTTAACTTTTCTTTAAATCATAAATGCTGATCTTGATGGTTGAGTGCTCTCAACTCTCAAGTCTCAACTCGCTCTCTTTCATTTTCTTTTTTAAAACAACAAGCTTTCTCTCTCCACTACTCTATCTCTAAATACTTTAGAGCTAGTAGTGTCTAGAGAGTAGTAAAGAGAGAGAGAGAGGAGAGGGAGAGTAGCAGATTTTTTTGGGGGTGGAGCGAATGCGACTGACTCCAATGCAAAAACAAATGTCAACATTGTCATATTGTACAACAGCAAAATCAGCGGTCCCGGGGTCACTGTCACTGACACAGTGACACTCTGAGTCTCTGACCCTGAGACTGAGAGTCTGAGACTCTGAGAGACTGAGACTCTGAGAGACTGAGACTCTGAGAGACTGAGACTCTGAACTTCTGAAGTCAGTCGTGAGTCTCGTGACTTCGTGAGTCGTGAGTCGTGACTCGTGACTTGTGAGTCCACTTATTACAACAAGGGCCCAAGCCCCAGGCCTGGCCCAGGGGGGTTGGGTGAGCAACTGAGCACTGAGCAATGAGCACCTGTGAGCCTGTACCCTGTAGCCCTGTAGCCCTGTGAGATACTAATATGTTATTGGCTTATTATTTTCATCCTAAATATTCAGTAGGGTATGTGAAAATTCCAATAAAACCTTGTAGTAACTTTCCTAATTGGGTGTAAATATAAATAGCAGTATAGCTGCTCCGTCTGCTTCTGTAGTCGGTACTCGGTACGGCCAAATTATGATTACTCGTATAACTTTATTCAAAAAAGAAGTCGTTATTCTTTTTTTCCCGTCCTAAAATCTTGAAGGAAAATATGGAATGTTTCACCAGTTTGCCCTCATGCCACATGGCATAAATGTGATGAGTCATGAGTGATGAACTGATGACCTGCGAGTGCGACCAGATTATTCAAAAAAAAAAATTTTTTATGCGGTGGTTTTCCATAGCCTTCCAAAAAAAACAGTTTTCCCTTGGAAGTTGGACATCTATAATCGTTACAGTTTAGTCGATCGGATTTTATATAATAAGTATTAACTGAGAAAATGAACACGGTAACGGCCAACTTGATGGCTTGTTGTGGTATATTTTTATTCTCTAGTAGAGAGGGACATGCGTTGACACACTGCCATCCAATTCGCTTCCTATGTGGCTAAATCTGACCTTGCGGGTCTTTAACTGCTTCTGGTTTAGAAACTTATCAATAAATACATTCTGCCGGTCGAAACGCTGCTTGTATGAGGTCAAAAATTACTTTTCATCTTTGTGCGGTGGACTTGTGGAGTTATGGGTTGAAAAGCTTGTGACATTGTTTGAGTCATGAGTCGTGACACTCTTTGAGACCCAATTTATAATATACAATGTGTTATATTAAGAGTCGTGCACTGTCAGCGATGTTGCATTGTAATTAGTTCCGTTGCTTCTCTGACTGAAAAGACACTCTGTCGAAAAGCTTCCACAACCACACTACACCATAAAAGAGGTTCACTTTTTTTTTTAAAACAAGTGCTGAGAATGAAATAGGTGTATAAGCCGCTTTTTAAAAATTGGGCGGGATTCACAAGGAGGAATGTTTTTTGAGACCTTAAATTCTTAAATCCACTGCAGAACCATTATTTTGGCTTTTGTGGCAATGTCGATTCTCTGCGAACAAATTATCTTTTTCAATACCAGACCCATTATTATTGAAATGTTACAAGTCAAAATAGTGTCAGGTATGATGGAGATACGATACAACCTATGGCATCAGCTTGTAGCATCTTGTAATTGAAGACTCGACTAAGATTTGGGTTGAATTGCTTTGTACAGCTGTATTCTGGGCAACTTCGGTTTGCCAATTACATTTATCACTCAGTATATCTGCAGCTTCGATGATTGATGGTAGAACGATGATATACGTTATTGGAACCTAATATTTTATTATAATAGTGTTTGGCCGTAATCCAGCACACTGTAACCTAATCGCTTTCATCGTGATTTTCATCCAGCAAATCTGTATTAGCGATAACCGGCGGTGACAGCGACTTTATAGACGAAGACCTCGAGGCGCTTGAGTGAGACGACGATAACCTTTTCTTCGACTGCCGTTTTGTCGAACTGGGAATAGGGTCGCCAAAATTGGGGCAAATGATGCAATAAAACGAGTCTGCAGAGGTAACGGGGTCCTCCTTAAGCGTTAGAATGAAATCAGACTCATCCTCTATCCGTGCTACCATCTCGGAATCCACATTGACTATTGATATTAAATAAAAAAAGCAAGCATACAAGATGACAACATTTAAGCACAGCTGGCTGATTTGATTATTCTGTAGCCCAGGGAACTAATTTCGCTGTCATCGAACAAGTTCATTGATATACTTGATACATAAATAAAAAAAGACAAGAAAGAGGGGCCATAGAAGCGCCTCCAAACAATAAGCCTATTCGTAACATACCTAAGATTCCCTTTTTCGTTCGTTTGTATATTTTGCGTATATTTTCCGCTGACTTGTGATACCGTTGTGCAATCTATGAAAAAAAAATGCGAGTCAGGTCAGAGAGTACACAAATAGGATGGAAGCCGCACAGTGACATCAAAATACGCAGCCGGGCGTACTGAACAATTACCTTGAGTTTCAGCTCGTCCAGGTCTTTTTCGTACAAATAGATGGCGTGGTAGGCTTCTTCGTCCTCAATTTTTAAGTACAGTGTAGTGTCTGTAGATGGAGAGAAGCCGCACGGAAATAAAAACCATGAATAGGGAATGCACCCGTGGCGCTGGTAAATGGGAGAAAATGAGAATAACCTCGCTAACTCCTGATCTCGCGACCTACGTCTTTGTAAGCGAAATCGCTGAAATACAGAATCAAGCAGCCCTCCAGATTTTCAATTACGTATAATTTCCTATCGCCCTCTGGTGCTTTCCGAGTAAAAGGTCAGTGTTCAAGTTTGAGTTCTAGAAGCTCGAGTTCGCGAGATTCTACTACGATCATGCAAGCACGCAACCCGAGTGCGTGCACTTTCCAAGCGTGAACAATACCTAAGACTGCGCGAGATGCTCGTGTACGAATAACGGACGTAGAAACTTGAATGAGGCAATCACAGACTTCTCTGGATATACCACGCCAAAGAAAATCGCCCGCAATGTATATTAAATCGGAAAATCCCGCGGGCGTTCCATAAGTCATCAACAGTAGCCTGCGTATCAATTCACCTGGCTCCTTTGGGAGTGCATACGCCGTGATAGGCGACAAAACAAAGTGTGTGGACACGCGCAACAGTCTGTATACAGGGGCGCGTGTGTACTGAACCTCAGGAAGGGCACCAATGTACACACATGGACTTGTAATCAGGCGCTTCGGAAGTGCACACTACTAGCGTCCAGATAACTGAACAGACTCAACTTACAATCAGCTGGCCGAGACCACGCCTTCTTGGCGGCACCGGGAGACCCACAGTAATTCTGCGATCTACGTCCCTCCGAAGTGGCGTTTGAATTGGGGTGCTCCTCTCCGGCGGACACAGGGGAGCTTATGTACTGCCGCTTATCTCTGTGGGCCTGTGTCTCAGTAAACCTGACGACCAGCATAGAAAGTTGCAAGATTGTTAGCTATGACCAAGTTACCCCTTTTAGATACGTGCAAGTGTGGAGCGTTTCCGCTTGTCAACAACTTTGGGTGAACATGAAACCATCTGCGATATGCCTTGCAGAGACCGCAGGAACACATACTATTAAATATACAAGCAACAGCTTCGAGCAAATCAAGCCCTAGAGCTGGCTAATGAAACGACTCCCCAAAGCTCAATAAACAAACAAACAAAAAGCTTCTCATATATCATTGCGTCCAAGGGTAGCGCAATACGATTCAGATTACTGATTAATATTCCCATATGCGGATGATTACGTACAGCTACTGTGAAGAAATCTGAGTCAACAAATTATAGACGCGACCTGATCCTTTCATTCACTACCACACACCCTAGTCACATATTGACAAGAGTTGTGGCTGCAAAGCATTATTGTAGTACGCCCACACTTCCTGACTGACCATTTGCCTGTCATCGCATACAGGTACACGCATCTACTCTGGTGGTATTTGATAAAAAACCGACAAATTCTCTGGTATTAATAGATATACGATATACTAACACTCCGCGGAGATGCAGAGGTGCCTTAAGCTAATAAAGAAAACATACATTGTGCTGTCGATGTTGAATTCAGACAGCACACCCATAACGTCCCCAGTAGCGACCAGTGGTAGAGAGTCCAGAGGCTTATCGGCAAACTGGACTGGAGGTGGTCCCAACGCTGGTATTGAAGTAAATGTTGTGTATTTTGATTCTTGAAAGAAAGGGTTAGTAAACACCGCGGGACCACTTTTCTTCATGTGCTTGAGCAATCTCTTCTCCTCGCTCTTGCTCTCTTCTTTATGCTTACGTTCAGCACCGTTAGGTCTGAACACTTTTATCAGACACTGTGATCGGTAGAGAGACTCGGTTCCCGTGCTTTTGGCGTTGAGTATGTCCACCTATATTTGAAAGTGTAGTATGAATAAGAAACCTACAATAGCCGAATGAACCATTTGTACGTGCTCAATACCCGATGCAGGCAGACCATATCAGCAACAAGCATCATAGATATACACATTAATCTGGCTATAATTACGATTACACTACTATATTCTCGTATCAACGCACCTGTATCTTAAACGGCATGCCGGCTACGCCCTTTTGTGTTACAAAGTCAGTCGACAAGCAGTAAACCTGTATGGGCAATTTAAATCCTTCACTTGGTGTCCAGTAGAACGACAAACTATTTATCCTGGGCTTTGTAAGATTTGTGATTCCTTGAGCCTTTGTTGCTAACGCGTTGATTGGCCGTGTGGGTGCTGACGTCATGCCGATCTTGGCTCCCGAATGTGGGTGATTTGCCGAATTCATATTGAATTGCGCTGCACAAGTTTTCTGCCACTGTTCCCAGTGCACGACAGAGTTGTCATCCTTGCCATCTATTAATAGTGAAATAATAGTGTGTACGGGATCACTTCCTACAGTATTGCCGGGAATTTTCTTCGCCGAGATGTTGTACACCAGACCCACATTGAGATAACTCAACGCCCCATCCGTCAATTTTCTCGCGATTGAGTTGGGCGCATCAAGGAAAAATTGGACTGGTTCATAGCCCTAAAGTGAACAAAAAGAGATGGTGCAAGATTCTGAAATTGCAGATATGTTCTCGCTCATTTACAATATCCCACAGAATGCTATATTGGGTGGCTAAAAAACCAGTTTGGCCCCGAAAAATAAATCAACAAACGCACTGTACATGAAACGAAGTCAAGACGGCATGTGCAGCAACAATCGACGTCCGCCACAATTGAACTGGATCAAATAAAAAAACACTTTCATGATCGAAAATACATCTAGCTAAAATTAAATTATATCGACTACTAATAAAATTTTACAACAATTGTACATACCTGAAAAACAGAATCGGGCGGTTCCTGCTTTGTATCCTCCAAAAGTTGAGCTGCAACACGCATTTCGTCCCCTAAAATAGAATAAAGGAACGAAGCCCGGAGAGAAAGAAAAAAACGTTGTAGTCACTATTGCGAATGGTTGATCGCAGTATTGTTTTCC